TAAAATCAAATTTTGATATCGCTGAAAGAATCTTCTTGCTTATGGTGTTATGATAAATTATTGTACAGCTTGTGTCAGGGTTTCGAAAAGCATTTCCTGACGCAAAAAAAGACTATTGTAAACAATTTTTAAAATACCAAAATACTAATTATTTGGGTTTTATTTTGTTTATTTTTTTGCCATTTTAACTAGGTATGTTACTTTCTTTAAAAATAAATTGTTCGAAAACAATCTAAAAATCAATTTAATGAAATTGATTTTTAGATTGTTTTCGAACAATTTATTTTTAAAGAAAGTAACATACCTAGTTAAAATGGCAAAAAAATAAACAAAATAAAACCCAAATAATTTGAAACGTAATATTGTACTTTTCTTATAAAACTTATAAAACAAATAATTTAAGATATTTAGGAAGCACCAACATTAGAAAAAAACAAAATTACAATTATGTAAATCATTATTTACATAATTGTAATTTTGTTTTTTTCTAATGTTGGTGCTTCCTAAATATCTTAAATTATTTGTTTTATAAGTTTTATAAGAAAAGTACAATATTACGTTTCAAAACACACTAATAAAATAACAATAATAGTAATAATTTAATGAAGTAAAAAAGACCTTACTATGAACATACATGAATTCTTTTTTTTGTTTAAAAGTACCATATTTACCCTTTATTAATTATTAATGATTTTATAAAATTATTGCGTTTTAAAGCAAAAATCCCCTATATGAAAAACTATAAGTAATAATCGAGCGAAGTAAAAAAGACCTTAGGATACCAATAAATGATTTCTTTTTTTTTTGTTTTAAAGTAACTTATATCCTCTACATTTTCTCAAAAAATTTTACTTTTTCATAGATTAAAAGTAATTTTAAAAAATTAATACATTAAAGGCAAAAATCCTCTATCTGGAAAACTTCTCGTTGTTACAGGCAATAGAAGGAAATAAGTTAGGACATTCAAATTTGGCATACATTTTTTTAATATTTTTTTAAAAACAAATGAGGGGACGGCACGATTAAAATTTCGACATCGGTCAAATAAGAACCACCCTAATATACATATTTTGTGATCGGATTTCATTTTTTTAACTTAAATGGATCAGGAATTGAATTTAATTTAAAATTATGTGTCGCGAGGTAAATTTAAAATATTTTAGTAAAGGTAGGTAGCTGGTGGAAAATGGTGCTACATAAAGTTTGTTTAATACTGGATTTGTACTTCTACCTCGATATCTAAATCGCCCTTTTTTTGCCCAAGATCATATTTGCTGTAACTGAAAAGTTATTAAGGGTGCACCCTTAGTTTTTAATTGAAAGCCCTATATGTTTTCATTGTTTATACACAATAAGTGTATTAAAGTTAAATTAAAGTAAGCATTTTAAGAATTTACTACATTATTGTTTGCTAATTGTTTTTATAATGAATTACATTTGCATTTACCTACATTTAATTTATAAATACCAAGAAATTAGCGATTCGTGTTAACAAAGTTTCACAATAAACTTTTTAATTTATATCTTCCTTTTTTTAACATATAGATATTTATATCTAAATAAGTATCCATATGAATGTTATGATCAAGTATGTACAAATTTTTAAAAAATGGCGAAAGGGCCGGGATATGTTTGCAAAAAATGGTGGACTGATTTCTAAGGAACCTATGACTGGAGATGCGACTTGAATAAAAAACGGTTCGTTTTTTTTTTGTTTTTTTGGGGTTTTTTCATTGTTATGTTTTCAAATGGTTTTTTTTTCATATTTCAGGTTTTTTTCAAGATTAGTCCCATTTGCCTAATTTTTTATGTTTCCAGTCCAGTTCATGGACTAAAATTAGTCATTAAATGACATTTAGTAAATGTAAATACAGTCTCGCGCTATGCACGAGCCACTACCACCGAATTGACCAATAAGGGCCGCGCTAGTTTTGATTCGGTCCTGAAAAAAGTAACTACCTATAATATTTTTGATTCAGCGCTTGATTATTGAAAAAGCTACCAAAAGCACTTTTTTCATGATTTTTTAAATTCACGTAGGTATGGAAATATTTTTTTTTCAAAAAAACAATAGCAAATTCTTGTAGAACATTTATTCTTTGGTTTTTTTTTTATTACGGTATTCGTTAGGATTGAGCGTTGCACGTTTTTCATCTAAAAATCTCAAAAATCTCTCTTCAAGCTTCATATTGCTTTTTTTACGGCTCCAATACGACCATTTTTAACGAAGTTACAGCTATCCGAAAAATCGCAAAAAATTATCCTTTAATTTTTTCTATAAGTGTAGAAGTTTTACAATGCTATTGGTTTCTTATGTGGAAACTACCAAATAATAAGAAATCAGATTTTTTAGTCTCGGTCAAAATTTTCAATAATGAAAAATGTAATATATTCTACTGTAGAATTTCTACATTTCACTTTATTATTAATATACATTTTAGTCAAAATTTCATTTTGAAAAATTACTCCATTTTTTAAGATTGATGTTATTTATTAACAGAATATCCAAAAAAACCGTTTTTTTCTAAATTTTTTTTCATGTTTTTTTCACATCTGAAAAAAAAACATTTTTTTACATCTCTACCTATGACCTATAGTTACTTATTGTTAAAAATGGTTACTTAGGTAGGTATTGTTTTTTAATCAATTGGCCCATCCTTAAAATAAACGATGACATAATACGTAGGAAGGAAGGTACCATTAAATTACCTAAGCTAATGTTTATTTGGTCCAATTGAATGGAAAATAAGTTCCCAAGACGTCCTTAACTTTATTTAAGGATGGACTTTTAAACAATTTACTATAATTGAATTATTTAAAGTATTTAAAATGACGAAATTGCTTACTCTTGTACTGGGCGATTCCATGGTTAGTAACGGGACAAAAATAAAGAAGACAAAATGTTTTTCAAGATAACAATAATTTTATGATAGTTATTATTTTTTAATTTAATTGCTGAGGAGAATCATAAAATTATTATTATAGGAACCCTGATGGCAAAATTTGATTTTAAGAATCTTCTATCTTAGGAGCTTCCCTTATTGCTAAGAATGTTCTTAGGGACTTTTAAAACATTCAATAGATACCCTTTTAATGATGCAATTAGATTCTTAAAAGCTTCTTAAAACCTTCTTAAAAAGCATCCCAAGAACATTTTAAGAATACGTTTTTGGAATGTTCTTATGGAGCTTCTAGGAAGCTTTTCAGAATATCAGGTACCCACGTTCTAATATGTTGTATTCTACATTCTTCAGGATACGACAAATACGCCTCACTGTCATAATATGACAATGAAATGTATTTGTCGTCCCCTTAAAAAATGTTACGACATATTAATATATTTATTTAAAAAATAAACCATAAGTTGTATGAAATTATTTCATAAAAAGTAAAATTGGAAAATTTTGTGGGATAAGTCAGATTAGATTGAAGTTGGAGATAGTTAGGATTATTATACATAAAAATGTTAATTCAGAAATAAAAAATCGGTAGGTATACAAATTAATAAATATTTATTTTTAACATAAAATAAAATACCTATAGTAAAAGTATTTTTGTTATCGAATATTGTTTTAATTTAACAACTAACTATAAAAAAATATTTTGGATTGTGATTTTTACTTAGTATTTAATACTAATTACTAATTAGGTACTTAAGTATGGATATATACCTTTATACGTAGTTTATGGTATATTTTACTATTATATAGGTAACTGAACTAAATATGCTTAACAGGAATATTCCTAAATGAACTTTCTATAGCAATTACTTTCTTAACATTCTAAGCATACATATGTTTAGAGTAGACTAATTTTTACCACCTTCTAAGAACCTGCCTATAGGCCAGTGAGAATATTCTTAGGATCATGCTATATTTATTTTAAGCATGTTCTTTAGAAGAAATATAGCATGATCCTAAGAATATTCTCACTGGAAGGTTTAAAAAACATTCTAAGAATAAAGTGTGGTATCAGGAAACAACACATTTTCAAAAAATTTCATAAAACATTTGTTTTCTTTCTGTTGGAAATGGAATGGAATCGCCCTAATCCCGTTTTCGTATAAATAGGACACCCCTCTCAAATCCTTATTTGAAAAGATATTAAAAAATTAAAAAATCCAGCTTGCATGCTTTTAAAAAGTAATTTTTTCAAAACAATTTGATAAAATAGAAACCATTGTTTTTTTAATGGAACGCCCTGTATATTTTTGAATATTTATATCGAGTTTATTATTAAAATTTAAAAAATATATAATTTGTATATGTTTGTATTAAACATTTTATTAATAATTGAACCAAAAACCTGGCTTATTACGTAAAAATCATAGTTAACTATGGCAATTGCCATGAATAAAAAAACTCAGGTCCCAAAATAACCATTTATTATTAATTTTTAACAACATTTCTGGGTCAGCTATTAACAAAATACTTAATACAAAAATATGCAAAATATATATTTTTAAAACCAGACTCTATTTAAATATTTTATTGAAAAAAATAATCTCAATGCTATTTAATTAAATTTACCGATGCTTTTTTGTTTTGGATTTTTGTCAAAAAATTTTCTTTTTTAAACCATGCAAGGGATTTTAAATTTTTTCGATATCTCTTCTAATAAAGATTTTAAAGGGGTGTCCCATTTATAAGAAAAGTTTTAGTTTTTATGGGAAGAACAAACAAAAATAAATAACCAAAAAATGTAAATAAAAAACCGACCTGGATACTTGGTGCACCCTGTAGATAGATATTTAATAATAAAAAATGTAAATATTAATATTTTTAAAATTTAAAAAACTATTATTTTTTTTTAACTTTATAGCGCCATTGCGACACCCTGTATGCTGTATATTATTTAAGATGGTTTAAAAGATCATTTTTTTTAAATATAATTATTTGCAAATTGCAAATCAATATTAAAAATTTTCTTAGATAAATTATGTATATAATAAAGATAAAAAACAATACCAATTATTAACAATACAAAATTTCAACACTTACCATTTTGATGAAAGTGTTGAAAAGGCACGGGTCACTTTGATGTCTGTGATGCGACAACAGAGAAACAGAATAAACTTTATACTTTCGTGCCGCGGTTATTTAATACCTAATACGCGCATGGCCGTTCAGACTCTAAACTTGAACAATATTCAGGCACCTATTAAATAGAGCAATTACTAGGAAATTTAATTAAATTTAATGTTATTTAATTTTACCAAATAAAACAAATTTTAATATGAAATTAATTGGTTTTAATAAATCATAAGCCCTTTTCAAAAAAATCTACTTTTTTATATTATACAATATAAATAATTATAAAATTACATAAAATACAGTTAAATTGATTTAAGAATAAATAAAATATAGTTTTATAAAATTAATGAAGACCGTTGCTCACAATAAAATAAATATAAAAATATTGATTTAATATTTAAAAAATTCTAAAATTAACCACTGGGGTCCCATCGGACCATATAAGGCCTTATATCTTCAGGTAAAACTTCATTGGCTACGGTATTTTTTATCCAATCTATATGCACATGCCGAGCAGTTTTAGGACTTTTAATATTTGGCTTGTCGACTTGACCGAAAACGTGTATCACATGGGTGGCTTGATCTAGTTCGGTTTCGTTAAGTACCACTCCCCCATAGGCAATAAAATATCTTATTAGTTCCGAGTAACTTTCCTTAATTTTTGGTCCTAGTACGGCTTTGACGCCCTTAAAATAACTGGGAATTTGTTTTTCAAAGTGTTTTTTCACCGGGGATTCTTCAGGTTTTGCCTTTTTGGGTTTTGGGTTGGGTTCTTTTGATGGGGATTTGCGCTTTCTGTTTTTCCGTTTTTCATCATCCTCCATGACTTCTATAATTGTTTTCTTCTTCTTTTTCGGGGATGGCTCTTCACCAACATCACCCTTACTCTCTTTCTTGATATAGCTCAACAAATCCTTTTGTTTTGGTGGTTTTGGAGACGTCTCATCCTCTTTTTTGACTTGGTTCATCAACAAACTAACATCAGTATGCTCTTTGGACGTGGTATACAAAACTTTTAACTCTTGCACAGTAGTTGCTGACCCCCAATCCTTATCATCCCTTATTTTGGTAACCCTAGGGAATCTTATGGAAATACCATCGGCCGTATGGACATCGTGTTGCGTGAATTCGGCCCCTGTAATCTCCCAAACCGGTTGATTCTTGGGATCCTTAGCAACAAAGTCTGGTATCATTGTTTTAGTGCAGTTTAACCAACTGGGCACTTTCGAGGCATCGCAGCTTATTTTCACCATGTCCAGTTCACTCTGAAGGCGTTCTAAAGTCTTATCGTCATGTCCTGTATGGACTTTGGTGACGGTGCAGAATCTTTTGGTTGTTTTGTTGTACGAGCCCATCAAGAATACCGACATCATTCCGCCTTTTTTACCGGTGCCGTACCAAGCGCCAAGTACTATTAAATCGGCGCTGTCGGCCATTGCGCCGTCGAATAGGTAGTCCTTTTTCACTTTCAACCAATGGCGTTTACCGGGTTCGTATATGCCCTTCAGGTCTTTTAGAACCAAACCTTCTAACCCCGCACTAAGTACTTTGGCTATCATCACTCTGAGATCGTCGGGTTTGTGTATTTCCTTCATCTCAGAGAAGACGATGTGGTTCGGGATTTCCGCCATGTTTTCTTTGAGGATTTTTTTACGAAGTTCTATGCTTTTATCAGTTAAACTTTCGCCGTTATAGTAAATGCAGTCGAAAACGAAGAGGCAAACGCTCGCATCTTTAAACTCGTTCTTTTTGTGGACCCCGAGTGTACCGAAAGGCAAAGGATTCCCCGTTACGGTGTCTATCATCAAGATTTCACTGTCCAAAATTAAGTCGTTACCTAGCGGGAATGCCTTCGGTATATAATCCTTGAAATGTCCGACTTTATGGTTTAAAACCGGTTTTAAATTACGCGAAAAATACTTAAACTCGCTGCCTTTTTTATGCACTTGCACTCTTTCGCCGTCATATTTAATTTCCGAATACATTCCATTGGGACAGGCTTTCATAGCTTGTTCCACTGATTTACATGCTTGTGCTAACATGGGTAAAACTGGCGTCATAACATTTATGGTGGCTTTCACAGAAGTACTTTTAGTTTCCTCGAGACACCTTTTTAGGACTATCCCTAAATCCCTGGACGATTGGTACGCCTTATAAGCGTCGGGATGAATCGCGTCCAAAACATGTTTAGCCCCTGCATTCATTCTCAAGTCGTGAACAATAAGACGAATTACGATTTTTAGATCATTCCCCGTGCATTTGGGCAGGAATTTTTTAAAGTGGCTTATTTGTTCTTCCTCTTTGGTAAGTTTTGTCAAGTTCTCCAAAAAATCATCTACCTCTTGTATAGCAAGCAAACTTTTTTTTGCCGGCCTGATTTGTTTGCTGTCTTTGAAAAAATCCTGTATTGTTTCACCTATATCACCTTGCTCTAAATGTTCCAGCATACTTTCCTGATCCGTATGAAAAATCTTAGCGAATAGTTTGATTAATTGTTTACTTTGCAAGTTATAAACTCGTTTTACAACACCTGGTAATAATAATCGAACCCATAATAGCGTATCACCTTTAAACCCTTTACCGTCCAAACCTTCTGTGAACATTTTATGCATAATATTACTTTTATCTGTATAACTACTAACGTTGGTAACATCGGCTACTAAAATCCTGAACCCTTTGAACAACAAATCCTTACTAACCCCCAAATTAGCACTTAAATTCAACTTAGACTCTTTTACAGGAGATTTACTTCGCTTTCTAGGGCTACGACTAGGCGAACCTTGCTTTTTAGGTGACTTGGCCTTCACTTTAAAATCCTTATTAAACTCCTTCAATTTATCCAAAATTAACCCCTGATTTTCATCACTCAACAAATCCCAACCATCGATATCACTGGTATCATCAATTTTTCTTGTAGTAGCTCGTTGCTTAGAGAACACTTGAAACAAACAGTCCAAATGATGCCACGATTTCATTTTGCCATCACCAAACGGATTTGCTACCAATTTTGCCAGCCGTAACTCTCCCTGTAAACATTTTTGTTTACATTTTTTACACACTGCTCGCCCCTGTTTCGCCACTTCAGCGGCGAAAGGTTTTTCTTCTTCATTTTCTGACATTCTAAAATTGAGAAAAACGGTGAAATAAAGTCGGTTTTATATTTAATGTACTATTAGTTGATGAACTCACCTTATGTTGCTTATCAGCGTAGCGTAATATTAGTAAAATCTTGATATAATTGACGTAAACATAACCCTCATAACCCTAAATTATTTAATTGTCAGTTCTCAAGGTCACAACGAAAATTTGTTTGTTTGTAGGCAACCTAGATTACACTGTATTACCTTTTAATAGCATTTTAAAGAGGTTTTTTCGCATAAATTTATATGAATATCATAAAAATACCATATATAATACATAGAGAGGTTTAAAAAAAGTTATTAAGGGCGTATTTTAAAGATCTTATACAACTTTTTAAAATCTTAGTAGATGGCGCCAGGAGTGCTAGTCTTAAAATTGGCGTAGAGTTGAAAAGCGCACTAGAACATGTCAAACGGTAAATGTGTTTCGCGCATTCTCCCCGAGTCTAGTCTAGTGTGGTTGAGGGAGTTTGGAGTAAGTCAGCTGTTAAGAAGCTGAAAAATGTTCGCTCTTATACCCCGCTCTGTGATGTGAGTACCGGTTTTATAATTTAAAGTTTATTTGTTGTCTTTTTACGGTAACTTTCGCAAACCCGCAAAACGCGGTACACGATTTTTTGAGGTGCTGAATAAAATCTAGATTGCTTAGTAGATCGATATTGTTTTGAGCGCCGATATTTTGAATTTGGTAGATATTTACGGTTTTGTTTGAGATTTTGGCTGTGTTTTACGGTGTATTTGAGTATTTTGTTATATTTAGAGAGTTAGGTAATAAAACAGCTGACCATAACAATTGCATTGCACTATGGGCTGAATTATATTTCAATTATCAAGGTAACACTTGGAATGAGTAAAAAGTGTATTAATAGACGTTTCATAGCTGTCTAGATCAATGTTTTTAAACATAATAGGTATATTAATAAGTTTCCAAATACCGGCAAACTTTAGATAAATTATTTACGGATATTGTACAGGACCGGATCTAGAAAATTGCGCTGAAAGGCGTTAACTAAATTAATGTATGTAATCATCTGAAAAAGAAATACGTAATTTCGTTTTAAATTGCACACGCATGATTCAAATAACCAATGATATTCATTTCCCGTTATTTATTTTCATACAGCTTGTTAAAGATAATGATACTAGGTAATATAGCTAAAATTCATGCTGCGGTATTTTCTAGTGTTAATTTTTTAAGGTTATTTTAAATTTGGCCTTGTTTATTTATATTGGCAAATAGGGAAAAACGCGAGCGTTGCATATTTAAAAATCTATTTGTCAGCATTTGTGGGAAAATTCTGATTGACGCAAGTTATTCTGCGGTTTGCCAGGATAATTGTAATTTTGTAGGTACAGGGTGATCCCCTATAATGTCGCCCCCCTTTAACTTTTTTATTTTAAGTGTCCCAAAAAATTTAAAAGTGTGGTTATGTAGGTACTAAAAAATACTTTTTTTCTACGTATAAAGAAAATTGGAAAAAACATTTTTTTTTATTTTTTTTTTCACTGGATCACCCTATATATATGTATACATAATATATATACATATATATTTATTTTTCGATTCCTTGTAAAATTCTAAGCATATTTCATATAACATAGGTACCATATACCTAAATTCAACCGTTTCTGAAATATTTAAATTATTTTTAAGATAATAATTTGAAATAAACTGCTCGTCATAAAAATCGACGCACCTAATTTTTTGGAAAATATTTGAAAGCTCGTTATTGGAAAATTACTGAATCGATTTTGAAAATCTTTGGAAATTCTGAATAGCTGATTCTTTGACTCTTATGTCTAATTTTGGGAATAAGATGGTTTAAACAAAGAGATGTATTTTTTGGAAAAAATACATCTCTATATATTATACCCTTCCCTAATATAAGTAAGGTAATCCCTCGGAACATTTTCGAGATTTTGTGAATATCGCGGCTTACTCCGATTATAATTAAATGCCAATTTTTCGAAAATTGCCGTTATTTCCCAGTTTTGTCCAAAAAATGAGCAAAAGTGGATTCTTTGACTTACGTCTAATTTTGAGAATACGATATTATTGTGCACATAGCATTATACTACAGGGTGTTAAAAAAATGGATGTTTTTTTCCAAAATTTCAAATCCTCATTCACAGGGCAGTTCATCTTGAAAGTCGTAATACCCCTTTCTTATAACAGTTAGGTTATCCCTCGGGACGTTTTCGAAATTTTTTGAATATCTTGGCTAACTACGATTTACGGCAATTTTTCGAAAATTCACTTTATTCTTCATTTTAGTCCAAAAAATGAGCAATAGTTGATTCTTTGACTCTTATGTCTAATTTTGGAAATACGATATTGTGCACATAGCATAATACTACAGGGTGTTAAAAAAGGAGAATTTTCGAAAAAATGCTATATAATCGTAGTTAGCCCAGATATCCACAAAATCTCAAAAACGACTCAAGTGATTACCTAACTGTTATTAGGAAGGGGTATTAGGACTATCACGGTGAATTGGGATTTGGAATTTTGTAAAAAAACATCTCTTTTTTTAACACCCTGTAGTATATTGCTATGTGCAAAGTATCTTATTCTCAAAATTAGACGTAAGTCAAAGAATCCACTATTACTCATTTTTTGGACTAAACTGAGAAATAACGACAATTTTTAAAAAATTGGCATATAATCGTAGTAAGCCTCGAATTCACAAATCTCGAAAACGTTCCGAGGGATTACCTTACTTATATTAGGGAGGGGTATTACGACTATCAAACTCAACTGCCTCATAAATGGGAATAACTTGAAATTTCGGAAAAAATACATCTCTTCGTTTAACACCCTGTAGTATAATGCTATGTGCAAAATATCGTATTCCCAAAATTAGACATAAGAGTCAAAAAATTAGCCATTCAGAATTTTCCGAGGGGTAGATCGCTGAGGAAGTATGGTGTACAACATGTGGGAAGTACAGGAAGTCTTTAAAGGTAGTACGGGAAGTAAGTGAAATTTTGAAAGGTAGTACAGGAAGTACGGAAATATAAGGGGAAGTACGAGTAAATATAAAGGAAGTACGGGGAAGTACAGGGAAGTACGAAGGAAGTATAGGGAAGTACGAAGGAAGTATAGGGAAGTAAGAAGGAAGTATAAGAAATAAAATATAATTAAAACGAATATTTAAATATCCCGCGCATTTTCCTAACCTAACCTAACCTAACCTAACCTAACTGCGATTCCTCAGAACCGAGTTCATAACACATCCAGCTGCCGGCAACACAACAAAGCAATACAAATATTTGGAAAAGTTGGAAATTTGTAAAAGTAAGTTTTTTATAATCATAATTGTCATATTTTTAACGCAAATTGAATTGAACAAAAATTCTCGATGTTAAACACTAGTGTATAACCTCGTGTAACCTACCGTTCTGAAATCGCCGGAAAGCGGCCATAAATACAATTTGGGTCTTTCTGTATTAACGTTCTTATGGAAAAAACAATAATTTTTTACGCTATTGGATTTCTAATAGTGTAAATTGGCCTAAATTGTATAGTTGTTACTATCAGTGTAATTGTTTTTAGGTTTTTAGTTTGTCGCACCTTTACTTATTCTGCTAAAGCACCCCTGTTAATGCTACTTTATTTAATTAATAACTAATTAAGGGCGAGTCAGATCAAAAAACGCCAAAGGAACTTTTGTTTTCTTTTTGGCTGTTTTATACGCCCTTGAAATATTTTACTCTTTTTTTAACATCTGATATACAGGGTGGTCCAGTTTATACCGTTAGGATATTACCAGCTGATAGTTTATCGAAAAATAAAGGTACCTTGTCCTATAAACTATTGTCCAATTTTGCTTCCTTTTTGATGTACAGGGTGTTAAAGTTTCCTAAAGAAAATAGTTTTTTATTAATATCCAAAAAACGCTTAGACCGATTTTCATAAAATTTTCACAGTTTGTTGACAACTTTATGATGTGCCTTTCGAACAGGTTTCGTAACAGTTGACCCAGTTATTCCAGAGGCGTGCTCACAGGGCACTTCGACAAGTTTTCGGGATAAAAAAATATCACTCAGTATATTTTTTTAATTTTTCATATTTTTTTCATACTTTTGGAAATAATTAAATTTTTAACTTACTTACTTTTACACAATTTTAATCTTTTAAACCACAAAAATATGGTTTTAAAATTCCATAATCTTTATCAGTTTTTTTGGCCACTTTTTTGCTATTTCGGAACACTGTGCGTTAGCAGCAAATTCTAGGCTATTTTTTACTTTTTTACAGATGGCTGACGGATTTATCAATTTTTTTGAATCATTTGAATCTAAATTAAATATTGTTATCCCGCAAACAGTCAAAAACATACTTATTATAAATGGATATGACAATAAAAGGCTTGTAGCAGAATTAAACGAGACGAAAATAAGCGAAATTGAAGATTTTGTTAGAAACGATTTACGCAACATTGTAGAAAAACATGATTTCGAAAAATACTACGGTTTATTTGCCAACAAACCACATTTATTTAAATTTGTTGTTGGGCATAGGCAAATTATTCTTAAACTAATTGAATTTGCCCAAGAGCAGATAACTAATGAATCCCACTTCGAATTAAAAGAAAAAAGAAAAGCAATGCAAAAAACTCGCGGAAAAGCTGTTCCCTCGACTTCAACCTGCTCATCTGCTATAAAACTAGAAAATGTTGGGGAACACAGTCGTCATGATTCTAGTGGCTCACGAACTCGGACTGAGTCTGTTTCTTTAACAGAAGAAAATGCTGCAATATGGAGTACCTTAAAAAGTTGGACAAAAAGTAAGACTACCGGTGCTTTATGGGATAAGTTGTCCAAAGAATTTGACAATTTAATTGTTGCTGTCACCACAGATACATATAATGAGTTGTTTTGTAAAATTACTTGTTTCTGTGGGGTAAAAGTAAAAATTACAAAATTATCCAAGGGTATTTCATCTAATAAGCGATGGATTTATTCCAATTTTCATAAGCATTTGAAAAAACATATAGAGCCTAGTCCTGAAAAAAACAACGCACCAAAAAAACTTGGAAAACAAATGAAAAATCTGCCTATTACATCATTTTTAACGGAACCTGTTCCCAAAAGAAGCAAAATAAACGTAATTCAAAATATTACTATTCCCTCGACTATTCCTTCCACTTCAGTTAGTTCGCCTATAAAGGATTTTTCACTGACCAATTGTTACCCTACAGAATTAAACAACATTTATTTAGAAACAGAAAACTGCACGTTAAAAATGGGTTCTCTTGGTGAACACTTGATGGAGATTAATCAATCTGATCATAAATCAAGCCAGCCAGCTGAAGAATTAAAGTTGGGGAATTCTGAGACTTCTACAGTTCAGAATTTGATGGAGAATAATCATTCTGATCATAAATCAAGCCAGTCAGCTGAAGACTTAAAACTGAGTAATTCTGAGACTTCTACAGTTCAGAATTTGATGGAAATTAATCACTCTGATTATGAATCAACCCAACCAGCTGAAGACTTAAAACCGGGGAATTCCGAGACTTCAGATT